TCCTCTTACAGAGATTCACACCAAGCAAGCATATCTAGAAGTGTGTAACTTCACCATTTTGCCCTTTCTTTCTGTCTTTTTAAGAGGAGACTTTTTCAGTTGTACATTAGGCACTGGAATTTTCTCCAGAACATGTGTGCTTTTCTCAAAAATCTTTTTTCCAGTCCTCTGGTTAAGACAGAACCAATCTACAAGTGGCATTCAGTCCCCTCTCAGAGTACTCTCGGGGTCACCTCTTTTCTCACGGTTAGATGTGAGAGTCTTATGAGCTTTGTAATTTTAGCATGAATATTGATTTGGTGTCATCAATTTGAAGTATCAATGTCCATTCAATATTATTTTATCTATTAGTGGAATTTGCAGGAGTTAAAGCAGTGCATTTTTCAAAACAGGTGCTTAATGTTTTCATAGTTTTTACACAACTCCTGAAATCAATATCACCACATTTCCTATAATTATATATTTGCAGTCACTTTTTAAGTGGCATCTATGTAGACTCTATGTGTCACACACCGCAGACTCTAAATGCTGTATTCTGTCTTTAATTTGAAGAGAAGAAAGGGAAGCAATGGTCATTGCAGACACCATTTCTACTAGCAAGCAGTATGTCTTACTTTAGCTTTCAATTATATTCAAGTACTATTCATACATTTTTGCCAAGCTAAAGTGAATCCTCCGATGTAGGATGCTAATTATTTGAATTATAATTAGTCAAGGAACCTAGTTAAGAAGACATCTGATAATAAGCAGATGAGAGCAATATTTGGAATGTTGAGAAAAATTATTTTAGAAGCTCATTAGCCAAAGCATCACAAAGAAATAAAATATGGAGCAAAACTGCATAACTTAAAGCTATTTAAAATCTTCTATTAAAGTTTCAGGGCAATCAAAGGAAATGTTAATAGCAAACAGTAATCCCAGTATATGACTGAAAATGATATAACATTTTAAAAATAGCAGTCTGCCTTTCTAATGTCGACCTGTTTATCCCATGGTCTGTAATTTGTGTCCGATGTGAACTATATATATATGCTCGTGTTTTCTATATATGCACTTTTATTCCTTGAAGCAGATGATTTTGTGGTATAAAGCCTATACCTTGTAACATAATATGCTTATTTGATTTTCTTTAAAGCGATGTAATAGTCAGGTAAAAAAAAATAGATCTTGTAATAGAAATTATTTAGGGGAAAAAAGAGGTAATGGAAAAAAAATCTTCATGTGAAAGCTAAAATGACCTTGTATAGTGTATTTCACTGCTTCTCAAGTGTGGCAAGAATAATGAGTCTTGGCAGTTGGCGCATGCTATTTACCTGAGGGTTGTCAATCATCCTCATTTGAAAGAGACAGAATTCATGAATTGTCAACACATCTTTTAGGTGAGAATCCAGTTTTCATCAAGAGAAAAAACTAAAACAAATGCTCAAATAAATTGAAAATCCAAATGCTGCCTAGTCATTTTGCTTTAAGAACATTTTATACATAATCCACAGTTCATGTGCTATAAAAATTGTAATATGTGAGACATGGGTGACAAACTGAATGGCTATTACTGTGCTTTTCAAGTGGAATACAGTCTGTAGATCAATGACTTGAGATTTTTTTCCCCTACATTTCATATAAAGCAAATTATTTGTCATTGAGCACTCCCATAAATACGACTACCTCATACTGAAACTGCTGACAGCCTTGTAGGCTATTTCAGTAGTGGAAGCCAGGACTAAGCACACTGAACTACATTAGAGTTGGTCCCTGGAGGACAGAATTGAACTTCATTGGCAAGGGCACAGTCAGAGTTCCATTTGACTCCTCATTAAACCTCTCACAGGGATTCCAGCTGTTTCCCTGTGGCTGCTCTTGCTTCCCTTTCTACAGAAGAGATAGATGAGAATCACATAAGCATGGATACATTTTTACATATTTAGGAGAAGATTGCTTTTCTGGATTAAAAAGCAAGCCTCTTACAGATTTTGAAGAAGACTTTATAGTTTCTTGATCATTACCTAATTATTCACAATATTTTCAAGGGAAGGAAAAAACTTATTTCAGTTTGTGAAAATTTTGTTTTAAAGTTTTATTTTTGAAAGAGAGAGAGAGACACCCAACAGGGTCTTCATGCAGTGATCCACAAGTTTCAGTCAGACATGATCATGGGTCCCTGAGCATGCCTGGTGTGCATAGGAAGGCTCTGGGACATGAGCCAGGGACCTTAACATGTGGGTCCAGTTGCATTACTGCTATGCCACCATCTAGCCTCAAGAATTATTATTATTTTTTGAGAGTTTTTTTGCTGTAGGGCACATGTGCTCACCAGAAAGGGAGAGAGAGAAACAGAAAGACAGAAAGCGAGAAATCACCCTCTAGGGAGGATGGCCATGCCACAATCCCATCTCCTCCATTCTCCTCTTGGGATCTTGGGCATGCACGCATATGCACCTGGCGTGAGTTTAAGCCACCCAGTTTGGGACTCGAACAACAGTCGACTACATGGGAGTCCAGCGATGTAGCCATTACACCATCTACTGGTCCCAAGAATTCATTTTAAAACTTGTCTTAGAGAGTGTAAGAGATTGTGTTTTTGTTTTGTTTCAGTTTGTTATCTGTGTTTATCTTTTCTCTTGGAAAAGCAGCATTGGGGAGAAATGCTGATAATGATCTTGGTTCTAGTATAGTTGTAATAACAAAATCAGAATAAATATGCTGAAGTAGTTGGAGTAACATAAGTTATTTTATGTGCTATATGTTGTTTGTGGCCCTTTTTGTTGATTGGGAGTCTTGAAAATACAATAAGATTTACCAGACTTTGGAAATGTTGCATTGAAAAACCAGTCAATAGTTCAAAGAAACTTGTTCTATGGATCAAAAGCCTCACCCCAATGATACAACATTATATTCTTCATGGGTGCCTTCTCCAGGAAGATTCACAAGGCTGTTACTGTTTTAAGTGCAATGAAGACAAATGAGATGATTTTGTCCAGCAATATCTGGAGGAAATTTTCTGCATCTATGAAATAATACTTTCAGTCTCCAGGCCATCTAATCCCGGGATTACTAATGGAATATTAGAATTGCTAAATACTAATGCTTTACTGGGTAATGCTTTAATACTTACTGTAACTGTTATTGTTTCCCCAAAGTGGTCCCTATGTACATATGCATAACGACAGAAAGAGCTAAGCAAATTGTGATTAAAAAATAGAGAGACTTAGCAAATATTTATTTAAAAGAAAGCATGGTTGTGAAAGTTCTTCTGCATTCACAAAATTAACAGATGAACAAAATTGTTTTCTAATGCTCTACATACATCTGGCAAGCCTATGCCTACATATATACACACATACATGCACATAGGTACATATGAATTCTCAGCTATTCTCATAATGCACATACAGATACACACCCCTTAGAAACCAAACTTCACTCAAAAGAAGCGTTATTGGTATCCTGTGAGTGGGATTTCACTACTAACCTAAGCATATCTTTAGTTCTAGAGATTAGATCACTTTAGAGCCACTCCTGTAGGTACATGGGATCAGTCCTTCCTTGAGGGGCTTCAAAATTAAAGAAAAATATATCCAGCCAAAGTTCCTGTAAATAGGATAAAATGATCAGATATCCAACAGGATGACCTATAGCTCTGGAGAAGCAGCTGATATTTTCCCAATACAAAAGGAAAGTCAGGACCAACAAAGGGTGGACATGAAGGCACTAACGTGAGCAGTGAGGAGGGAGAAGGTGTCGACAATTGGAACTTCTAAAATAAGACCCCAAAGATAACCTTCTCACATCAGTTGAGACCACCATTCTGTATTCATGTGCCCATGAATGCAGCACTGTCCTGTAAATACACTCAGTCTAAAACCTTCTCAGGCACAGAGACACATAACCACCAAAAGATTAGTGTTTGGCCACCCAGTTCTCATCTAGGCGAGAGCTGAGTAAGCTATCCTTTCCCGGGCCACCACTCCCTAGCTGTGTGCCCAAATGGTGTCTGAACTACATTTGCAGCCGAAGTGCCTTTTTTGCCTCGGGATGTCCAAGCATGTCTCAAGGATAAATAGGAAGTGTCGCTACTGGCAGGACACAGCACAGGTAATTTACATGGTAATAAGACATGATTTATATCTGAACAGTGCACCCCATAGTTTATTTTGACAGACTTATCCTTCAACAAATAACACTAGCAACCATGGGGACAGAGAAGAAGTAGTTCAGGGACGCACAGAGCAGAAGTCTTTGCTTGTGGTCTAAAAAGTCCTGGGTTTATTCACAGATAATTCAGAACTGCTTAAATGTATATATACCTGTTTATGAATAGGTGTGAAATAGTGTGATTTCCGCCTTCTATAATCAGCTTCAGGCAGCCTGAGTGATGGGAATCAAAGGACAGTCTTTGAAAGGTACAAGAACTTTTGGTTTCGAATGGGAAAAGGATCTAATTGTGTTTTATTTCTGTCTTGCTGAGTTTGGGACCCAGGATGAGAGTGTTTAAATGGGATGGAGAGAATGGAAGTGGGGGTGGGGTGAGGGAATACCTCTCTCTTTCTCTCCCCCCCCCACACACATGCACACACTTGCTCACACCATGTACTTCCTCTCTACAGTCACTACCACCCAAGTGTTACTGGTCTGTTCTAACTGCAACGAAGAGGGATGTAGGAAGATTTGGAGGGTACTGGGATCTGACCTCTGGATTGCCCAGGAGGAGACAGGAAGACCCTACCAAACTCCAGGGCCTCAAAGACTGTACGAAGGGTTGAGGTGGAGCCTGGAGTGGGGTTTTTTTAGCAGCAGGAGGAGGCAAGCGGACCCTGGCGGAGGTTGGAAGGCGGGGAGTGCGAGTAATCCTGCTGGCTGAGGACCGCGCAGTCCGGACGCAGGGCCCCCGCCTCTCCCCGCCACTGGGACCCCGCGCCTCCTCCGCAGCCTCTGTGGCAGCAACAGCGGCAGAGCCTCGCCCACTCCAATCCCCCCCCTCTCCATCCTTAGCCATTAAAGAACAGCAGCGCCTGGCACGTTCTTGGAGGACCCCAGGCGCAGAGGAGGAAAGGAGCAGGCGCAGGGGGGACTGGAAAGGCAGCATGCGCCCGCCGGGAGCAGCCTCGGAGCCCACGGTGTGAGGCTGGAGCCCCAGTTCGCCATTGTGAACCGCCGCCAGGGGAAGCTGCTAGTGCCGCCTTTCCTCCGGGTCCCCGTCCGAGCCGCGATGGGGCACTTGCCCACGGGGATACGAGGCAGCCGCCGCCTGCTGCCTCTGCTCTGGCTCTTTGTGCTGCTCAAGGTAGGGGAGTCCCCCCTTCCCCCTCCACCCTAGCAACCCTTGGCTCCCGGCAGTCGGGAAGGCTTGGCGCCCTGGCGTTGGCGTGCTGGAGCGGAGCGCCCCGGGCACCGAGGCTCGGCGGCCGGGAGCGCCTACCGTGCAGCCCGGTGCACGCTTTGTTGTTCTTGCCCGCGCGTGTGCCTGGTGGTCCTGGGGGGTGAGGGTCGGAGGCTAAGGGAAGTTTGTTCCCTGCGGCTTTCGTCCTTTGTGCTCTTTGAGCACCGCTGACAACCACATCCGAGGTGGGCTTATTGAAAGGATTGTATCTTCTCAGGCAAAACGAGGCTACTGTCCTTCGGGTCTCGACTGCACCCCAGCTACGCTTAACCTTTCTGCCCTCCCCCATCGGAGCGTGCGGCTGCTTTGTCTTAATTCACCTTCCGCTGGAATCGTGCACCGGGAGCCCAGCTCCCTAGCCACACGGCTGCCGGGATGGGTCGAAAGCATGGTTTTCTTTGACTAAGGAGTGGCAGGTTCAGCCTGCAGGGGATTTCTTTCCCCAAGTCTTACCTCCACCCTGAGAATTTCTTAAAAGTCTCTAGACTTTCTGTACGGTGTATACAGAAGATGCTACCTACATTGAACGGTACAAAAACAATATATATCATTAACTTTTTCTCGTCTTCTTTGGAATGTGCTGTTTTGAGCTTTTATTTGGAGAAAAACAAAAAGGAAAAGGAAAATGAAAAGGACCAGCTCTTAATCCTAGTAGGACTATAGAGTGCATACAATTTGGGGAAAACATTTCAGCGAGATGTTTTTTCGGGAGGCGGTGGGAAGTTATGAAGTAATTGTTGCTTGCGTCTTCAGTGGGTCCACTTTTAGTTCTGCCCTGACTCTACCCGGGTTTCCACAGTAAGGAATGTGGCCAGGTGACCGGGAGCTATCCTTTCAGCACCACAGTGATACCTATCCCAGAAATGGATGAAACACTACTGCATGCAACTGTTTCTCATTTAAAGACTCGCTTCTTGATTTTATGTACCATTAATTATGAATGCCTGACAAAGACACAGGGTAGCAGGATCAGCGTATTAAGAACAGCATTTCAATTTTAAATACTCCATATTTTACTCTCTCTTAATAGGAAGCAGGAAAAATCATTTCAGAGAGAAATAGCAACAGAGTATAAAACTAAGAGTCTAAGTTACTAAAGTACGTTTTTACGATTTTATTGAGGTATCATAATCATTTTATTTTAAAATCTAATGAGCAATAAGGTCAGCCCTGTGTTTTCATTCGAGGTTATTGTTCTTTAGTGCACACCACACATATAGACTTGATTGTTTCTTGCGATTCATTGATTCATTGTAAACTAATTTTCAAACTCTCTCACGACTATTACATCTCTGCCACACCTGACATAAATCCAGAACGAGAACCTGAGTCACCACGCATTTTACCGAGGAACAGCTAAGACCTCTCTGTGTGATATCTCATCCAAACCTAACCTTTAGCAGAACGGCAGGTTTGTTACTTGACTTCCTCATCATGTGAGCATTCCAGAAATGAAAGAATGATTAGCTTGGGAGTGAATATGAAGCGCTGCAATTAAAATGTTAAAAATGTGGTACAAGTTTGACTCAAAGCTTGATATTGGGATGCAAAAATGCAGTCAGTGATGGCATAATGGTAATTTCAGTGACTGATAGGTTGACCCCGTCCCACATCATAGGTATATTCCTGCACCTTTGCAGGTAAATGTCCACTATGGCAAAGAACGTCACACAATAAACACACTGACAAAGCCACTTAAAGAAATACGTTGTAATGGGGTAAATAAATTTGTAAGGGATATTATTACTTTTTATTTTATGCAAATACAAATATTTTGTCACCTGTATATGAAATATACAGAGAAAGGAAGAATATACGTATGTTTATATTTTATACACAATCTGTTCCAGTCTTCCAGATATTTTACATGTGTTGTTTCATTTAATCCTATTTTGTTGGTTTGGACAAGAGATGTCCAAAGTAGTAAATCAGGCTCATAGTGTAAAGTCTTAATATTTAAGGATGGTAATGCATTGAGCACCTGGTAAAAACCTTTTTTATAATTTGGATATACTTTTTAATTCAAGGTCCTGAATAAGTGCTGGTAAAATAGATCTAACATGTGTGTGTGTGTGTGTGTGTGTGACAAGAACATGAAAAAAAAAGGAAAAGAAAAAGAGAAAACTTCCATTACTAAATACCAAATTGTAAATCAGATTTTAATGATAAAATATTAAAAGTTCCACGTGTGCTGAATTAGAAGCAAGCCATTTCCCTAACCCTTTCCTCACCTCAAACTCCAGAGTTTTTTTTTTGTGGAGAGGTTTTTGCTATAGGGCATGTGCACTCGCCAGACAGAGAGAGACAGAGATGCAGAAAGTGAGAAATCACCCCCCAGGGGTTATGGCCATGCCTCAATCCCTTTTCCTCCATTCTCCTCTCGGGATCTTGGGCACACATGCACATGCGCCCAGCGTGAGTTTTAAGCCACCGGATCTGGGATGTGAACCACGGTCGACTACATGGGAGTCCAGCGACATAGACATTACGCTAACTGCTGGTCCTCAGAGTTTTCATTATGGCCAACAAATATTCACTTCTCCATATAAATATCCTCCATACAAGAGTGAAAATCTCGGGAACCAGCAGTTAGCGTAATGGCTATGTCGCTGGACTCCCACGTAGTCGACCGCGGTTCGTGTCCCGGACCTGGCGGCTTAAAACTCACACCAGGCGCGTGTGCGTGCATGCCCAAGATCCTGAGAGGAGAATGGAGGAGAAGGGATTGCGGCGTGACCATCCCCCCTGGGGGGTGATTTCTCGCTTTCTGTCTCTATGTCTCTCTCTGTCTGTCTGGCGAGCGCACGCGCCCTACAGTGAAAATCTTCCCCCCCCCCAAAAAAAAAGAGTGAAAATCCCTAAGACCATTAGACAGATAAATTGAAATATGTGGTTTGATTTTAGTTTTACACTGTTCACAACTCAGGACATGCTAAATGTGAAACAAGGCAAGTGTGAAAGTTTAGATCTCTATAAATGGCTACAACCAGTTTCAATGAAAGAGCTTAAATGTGACTGGACACGGAAGTCTTCGTTCCTAATCTATGGCTTAGTGATGGGCACATGTAACAAGACATCTTAGACTACACAAATCATTGGTTGAACAGCGTGAGGTTAATGTCTGCATAATCAATGCCAAGTAAATATGATGTTCATTATCGCAAGTTTACATTGCATATCAGTATGATATTGAATATATAAAATAAAAAATAGGAACTCTCCTATCAAATGGGAGCCTATCATACTCTATTTTCTGTCTGTGAATTCCAATGGAGTATTTACTTATGAGTCTCCCTCTGTACATCTTCCCATAATTCCCAGTGAAAACAATGTGACTTCCCTCACTTATCATACCTTTACTAAAACCCCCTGAAAATGGCTTACTGGGACCAGCAGATGGCATAATGGTTATGTCACTGGACTCCCATATTGTTGACTGCAGTTCGAGTCCTGGACCTGGTGGCTTAAAACTCACGCCGGGCGCATGTGCGTGCATGCCCAAGATCCCGAGAGGAGAAAGGAGGAAAGAGGATTGTGGCATGGCCATCCCTCCCCCCCACGCCCCCTGGGGTGCGGGTGATTTCTCACTTTCTGTCTCTCTGGTGAATGCATACCCCCAATAGCAAAAATCTTAAAAATGTAATTAAAAATGTTTAAAAAGAAAGAAAATTACTTACTACATGAGTTCACTCTGTATCAGTCTTTGTCAGCTGCAATGCAAATTGTAGACTATGACATCAGAGGAATTTAGAGTCTGCCTTCCCTGAAATGTTGCTTATTAGTATTCAACTGGAATGTTTCCCTAAATTCATGGGCTTGGCATATAGCCTTCTTTCTTTCTTAGCCTCCTCTAGGTTTCCTTCCCTGAGATAGGATATCTCAGGTAAGAATATTACATTTTTAAGGGGACTTAATATTGTATTTTTCAAAAGAGGATTGTGTTAATTATGTAAAGCATGACTATAATGATACTGGCCTATCATTCTTGTCCAAGAGAAATATCCACTTTCTTTCTTTTTTTTTTTTTCTTTTTTTTTTTTTGAGAGGTTTTCACTATAGGGCGCGTGCGCTCGCCAGACAGATAGAGAGAGACAGAGAAACAGAAAGCGAGAAATTACTCCCCAGGGGGGATGGTCACGCCACAATTCCTTCTTCTCCATTCTCCTCTCAGGATCTTGGGCATGCATACACACGTGCCCAGCGTGAGTTTTAAGCCACTGGGTCCGGGAAACGAACCGCGGTCAACTACGTGGGAGTCCAGCAACATAGCCATTACGCTAACTGCTGGTCCCAGAGAAATATCCACTTTCTATGGTCTATCTACCTTTCTTCACTTACTGTGCTCTCTCTCTCTCTCTCTCTCTCTATCTATCTATCTCTGCTATCTTCTCCCCAACACACAAAGAAGTTTTCACTTTTAATATTGAGGTTTCATTCATATGTCATACAGTGTTGGCTGATGAACTGTAATCCTCTCATCTTCTGGAGTGACCTAGATCACTCTGGTCACGATGAAATTAACTGCCCTTATTCCTCTGTCAGCTGACTTCTTTGATAAATGATATTTCCAACCTTGTACAGAACCCTTTTCCATGTGATTTCCCCCCGTAAGTTGGAGAAGGCTCACTGTGCTGTACTTCTCCAGGTGATTGTGTGATAATGCTTCCGACTGTGAACATGTATTTGCTTTTGTTCTTTGTTGTATAGAAGACCAAGGTTGTATGGAAGAGTAGAAAATTTTACACTGTACCTCTGCTTATTTAGCACCACTTCTATTATAGTAGCGGTTTAATAAATACTCAACTTAAAGGAACTTAAACTTAGAAGCAGATTGACTTTTTGAGTCTTATAAATACAATTCCAACTTGACACTTGAGGATTTGAGAAAGGGTGTTTGGTGTTGG